CCCAGTTCAGCTCAAGGGCGCAGGCACCAGAGGAGACCACCTTCCTTTCGCAGCAATCCGGAGCCTCGGGGCCTTGGGAGCGGCCGCAGCCTCCGGCCGCACCGCTTGCTCGGCTGCGACAGGAGGCGGTGCCCGCTCCGCCCTGCGCCGCGCCGCGCCCACTAGCTCACGGAAAAATTCGTTCCCGAAACCAGAGCTGGGAACTTCTGTCCTCCCTACAGCTTTCTGTGTTGGTACGTGTCTATGCTAACCTTAAAGAACAGAATAATTCCGCTCCAAAACTCTAATCAACATTTGTTTTGTTCTCAAGTATCCTGATAGACGAAAAGAGTTAAGAGGCTGAATTGTCCTCTACAACCTCTGCCCACCTTTAGTTCTCTTTCACCGTTTCTCCAGAAATCTCAGAGCGCCAGCCCCAAGGACAAATGTAAGCTAGGTCTCATCACCCTGGTTGGTCCTCCTAGATACATCTCCAGGCCCCGGCTTAGATAACCTTTTGGACCACGTATAGGAATCATTTAGGCGCGCCCCAAACTTGCCTCGTTTCTTTTTGGCGGGATGCGTAGGGTTTGAATTAAACTCCGAATCCCATCTCTAAAGACCGTATGCGAGCTGCCTCCTCCCACCGCCCCCTAAGACCGAAATCCTACGAGGCACGCTCCGCACTCAAAACGTTTTCTCCCTTTCTCTTGCAAGGTCCCTCGTTTAAACTGCGTCGGCGCCTTTATTCGCCTGACCGTATGCGGAGGAAAACCCGCCTGATCGGTCATTGTCTGGACCGCGACCGCCCCCACCCCAGCCCCAATCAGTGTCACAAAACGCCCCTTTCAACAGATTCCAAACCCTCTTCACCCGGGCTCACGGAGCCTTCAACTTCATTAAGTGCGCGCTACGGCGGCGCTGGAGGAGGCGAAGTTTAAATAAACCGGAGCGGAGAGGGAGGAGGGGTGGGCCTGGGGAGGGTTGCTAGTTGAAGGGAAGAGAGAGAAGTGTTTTTGAAAGGGGGAAAAAAGTCATCAGGGGAAAAGCGCTTTGTAACCACGAAGACGAGCCCGCTGTGGCGAGAACAAATTGGATATAGAGGGGAAGTGTCCGCCCCCACCTCAACCCCCGCTCCTGGGTGGTCCGGGGAGCCCCAGGAGAAAGAAAGATGGGGAGGAATCGGCAGTGAAAAGAATTAACTGCTTTAATTGGGCTGCAAGAGAGAAGTGGGGAGAGGCTCACCGATGTACCTAGATCACCCAAACCAAATACCCTTCAATAAAAAAAAATGTCTGCCCTTAGCGGTGGCTGAAAGACGTATGTCAAAGTTTGAGAATCAAGGCTGTTCTCAGCCATAGAAAGTAAATCTGCAAGATGGGGGAAATTCCGCCCGGAAAGACCCCCTCCCCCTCCTTGTGGCCTCGGGCCTCCCGGCGCCGGATGAAAAGGAATGAAATTGAACGAAATTGAACGAAATGAAGTGAAATTGACCAGTGAAATTCGCCAATTTTCTTCTTCTTTAAACTGCCCGCTCTCAGCAGCACTCTCTGAACCCCAGGCCGATTTCTTAGCATTTTTTTTCTCACCTGGAGAGATGAAGGTGTGCCCTGGATATTTTCTTATTATTGTCACTGATTGTTGGGGCCTGCGAGGGCAGGGCCTCAGCTGTCTCCACCCAGACAGCGAGGGAACCCAAGGAGCTGCTCCAGATGGAATGGCCTATTTCTCCTTCCAGGAGCCACCTCTCACTGAACGCCCACCCTGTGCAGGGTGGGAAGGAGTCCCTTACAGAGCCCCTCTGGTCTGGGAAAAAAAAAAAAAAGGAAGCTGGAGGACTCTACCATACAAATCTGCAACTCCCTCATCCTTCTCTTTTGCAGCCCCTAGGGTCCAGGTCCCAGATAGGTCCTTGCCAGGTTAACAGGTTCCCGGCCCATGCAACCTACAGGAGTCCAGAATGCCAAACACGCTCCCTTGTTCCTTGCCTTCAGCAGCCCAGATCGCTCAGCAATTCTTTTTCTGGTATTTTTCAAGGCCAGTTGGGCATCACTGGCTTCTTTCTGTCCCCTAGTCCTCAGCCACAATTCTCTCTGGCCCAGATCTAGGCTTCCTGACCCACCGGGAAACTGGGGTCTGAATCATGGGTCTGGGGCCCCAAGCTCCCTAGAAGCCCCCAGAAGGGTGCATCTCACTCTTCTGCAATCCTCTTTTTCTACCTCTTTTTCTACCTTTTCCTGATACAGACCCTCTGACACACATATGGACACCAAGCAATATCCTCAGATAAATTCACACAAACACACACTTTCACAAAGACAAATTGAGGAATCCAGTTGTGGAAGTATCTCATCTATCTATCCACCACCAGATGCGAATTCTGGCTGACAATTTTCTCTCTTCTACAGAGGAAAAACCCAGTGATAAATCTTTTACTCCAAGATCAAACCTAATATCTGAGAGTGTCATAGTCATGATAAATGAGATGATGTAAGCTACTAAGTGCTTTATGGAGGGCAAACACACAGGCAGTCATGTTCAGCCTTCCTCAAGTGAAAAGAAAATGAAATGAAACTGAGCAACATAAGTCAACTAAGCAGACAGCCAGAGACCTTTATCCCAGGATCAGCAGACATCTCCCTCTTTTGACCATTGGATCTAACCTTACTTCTCCTGGGCCATTCGATAAAATTGTGGGAAGGTGGCCCACTGCATTCACTCTCCCTCCACCCCCACAGTCTCAACAAGACGGAGGAGACGGCATCTCACCTCTGGCAGAGGGGCTGCATTTACCACACACCCTCGAACCTTGTCTCTCCTCCATTGGGGAAGGCGCTGAGAGACTTAGGAGTCCCAGCTGCTCTTCCTCAGCCCTAGGGCGTTCTCCCCACCTTGATCCTGATTCTGACCCTCTTCCCACAGGGCACTTTGCCCTCTACCTCCTTCTTCTTTCCTACTATTGCTGATGCCTGGGAATGTGGCAAAAGAGGCCTCTAGAGCTTCTCCCTACCCGCCCCTCACAGGTTCTCAATATCTGGTTCTCTGACCCTGTCTTTTTCTTTGTCTGTCACTTGTCTCCCAGCGCTCACCCTCAGCACGTGTCTATTTTCTGTGAAGCCTGAACGGCCTCTTTCTGCACCCTCCGTATTTCTCTTTCTCTCCTATGACCTCAGTTGAATGTACAGAGAAAAGAGCTAAGGAACCATCTTTGCTTCACCCAAAGCATCACCTCTCACCCAATACACCTGCAAGTCTGGCCACTGGGAGTCCCAGGCACAGGCAGCGAGCTGGGAGGCTCAATGAGCTGATGGAAGCCTCCAGCAGCCCAGTGGCTTTGCATGCAGGCAATAGGACTGGCTGTGAACATGACTCAAGGGTTGGGGAGGTTTGCCCAGCAGAGGAAGACCGCACTGATGCTCTCCTTTAACTCACAGTGCACCTCTCACCCTCTCGGCTGCAGGAGAGAGGAACTTCACAGTCCGCAGTTCAGTCCTTTCACTCACAGTGCACCTCTCACCCTCTCGGCTGCAGGAGAGAGGAACTTCACAGTCCGCAGTTCAGTCCTTTCACTGACTGTTCCATGTGCCAGGAGGGCGAGGGACCCAAAGACGGCCCTACAGTGGCCAAAGAAAAACCTCTCTCCTCCTAGGGACACAGAAAGAGACAGTGACAGAGAATCACAAACACAGAGACACGTTCACCGACACACACAGAAATAAAAACACAAATATTGCGAAATACAAGTCACACTCCCCCCCCCAAAAAAGGACAAAAAGCAAGGATATGTGATAACCCAGACAAACATGAACGCAAATCTGAAGCTCCATAAAAGCCCCCACATGCAGAAGCACACAGAATATGCATCAAGAGACACATTCCCTCAAACTGTACTTCATGGGGCAGTGTCCACGAGCACTGGGCAACTAGATCTGCCCAGGCCATGCTCAAGTTCAAACTGGAAGGAGATGAGAATCCCCAGGTGCATCTGAAACAAAACCTCTCTGCAGAGCCCCAGGCAGAAACCTTCCCAGGACCAGAGCGAAAATGAAAGTGCTGGAGGGGTCACAGGCTTCCCAGAGTCCTGGCCCCATTAACAGCTGAAGGCCAAGGCCAGTGTCCCCCGTATCTGGTAAGCCCAAGCCCTCCTCTGCCTGCCTGGGCTGCCCGAGAGCTGGGGGTCTTCTGGGAGAGCCCCAACCGGGAAAGGGGAGTGCAGGCAAGCAGACCAAGCTGGTGACTGCTGGAGTTCACATACATTTATTCAACTGACATCAATGGGGAGGGGAGGAGACAGATTTTTCTTTTCTTCCACACAAACCATCAGATGATTTCAGAGTCTCCCCGCGGTTCTAAATCAATGCACACCCAGTGGACAGAGAACGCAGATAGCAGCCCGCTGTACAGATATTTACACATAATTACAGGACCCCCTGCCACAGGATGTGCCCTCACCCACCCCACCCCCACCTCTCCAGCCCCTGACCCAGACCTCCTCTCCCACCCCAACCTCACTGCCTTTAGCTACAATAAATATCCCAGGGCCTGGGACAGAGCAGAACGCTGAGAGGACTGCTGGCCCTGGATGGCTGGACCCAGCCGGCCACAGGAAAAGGGAAAAATTCCTTCAAAAGCACCCCAACACAAAAGAGGGAGGATGTTCCTCGTGCAGTGGGATTTGGGGTTTCCGCAGGCATTGTGGAGACCCCTCGCTTCACCTCTTCCTTCAGCTTCGTCTGTGTAGACACTCCTTTAGGCTTCAGAGAGAAGGAAACTCCTTGGAGAACAGCAAGGAAAAAAAAGTTGAATTTTTCTTTTAAGCACAAAGCGGATAATAGTGTCTTTAAATTATAATATTGGACAAGCAGAGCCTAAAACTTGAGGAAGGAGTGAGGGAGAGGCAGAAAGGGTGACCTCTCTGCGCAGTCGGTGTTGGTGGAGGGATCCGCGGGGCCTGGGCAGGCATCTCTCCGGGAGAGCATTCTTCCGGGGCTGCCGAGAGGCGCAGAGGCTGGCAAAAAGCGAAGACTCCCCCCTCCCTCTTTTACTGCTCCAATTGGAATGGGATCATGGCTTGCGACCTCCTCGCGTAGACCCGGGCCTCTCCCTGAGCTAGGGAGCCCGCTTCGTCCCAACTATCGGCGAGATTCTGAGCGTGAAGCCTGAAGTGCCAAGTCACGCGCGCCGGCCCAAGGTCTGGAGACTCTTCATAAATAGACTCCCTGAGTTCCGCTGGGACCGCAGGAGCTCCCGGGAGAGGCTGAGGAGTGCGGGCCTAACCGGCCCTTAGCCGACGCGGTCAGAAGTGGCAGCCACTAAGGCCGGCGACTTTGCCGGCAAACGGGGGCCCTGAGGACAGGAGCGCGTCCCCGGGGTGGGAGAGGCGGATGTGGCCGGCCACTGGAGCCAGGGCCGGGGCAGTCAGCATGGCCAAGACCTGGGCTTGACCTCCAGGACCCGCCGCCGCCGCGAACGGCGATCCCGGGGAGCCCTCGCCTCCGCCCGGGGGTGCGGCCCCGCCGCCACCGTGGCCCATGATGTGGTCTATAGAGAAGGAAGGCCTCTGCCCGGCCCCAGCGCCCCCGCCGCCCGCACCACCGCCCGCGTCCGTCTTGAGGCCCTGGCGCAGGAGTGCGGTGGACACACCAGCCGCGGTGCCGGCTGCGGGAGGGCTCAGGGACGCGGGGTAGAAGGCTTTGGCGCAGCCCAGCTCCGCGCCCAGAAAAGCGGGCAGGCCTGCGGGGCCCGGGCCCGACCCTGCACCGGGGGCAGGCGCAGGGGCCGGAGCCGAGGCTGCGCCTGCGAACACCGAGGCCGTCGGAGGTCCGGGTGGAGGCGCAGCGGCACGGCCTGGGGGTACAGACAGCTGGCAAGGAGCGGCGGCGGCGGCGAAAGCGAAGGCGTGCGGGTGTGGATGCGGATGCGGGGCCGGGCCCGGTGGGGGTGCGCCGTAGGCCGGGAGCGCCAACCCGTAGCCATAGCCGTAGGCTCCGTAAGCGGCGAAGCCCGGCAGAAAGGCGCCGGGGTCCCCCGCCGCTGCAGCCCCGCCACGCAACAGCAGCTCCGGGTGAGGGTGCGTATGTGGATGCGGCGGCGGTAGCGGCTGCCGCTTGAAGCGCTTTCGCCGCCGCAGGAAGCTGCCGTTGTCGAACATGTCGGCCGACTCCGGGTCCAGCGTCCAATAGTTGCCCTTGCCCGGGTTGCCCGGCTCGCGGGGAATCTTGACGAAGCAGTCGTTGAGCGAGAGGTTGTGGCGGATGCTGTTCTGCCAGGCGGGGAACTTCTCCCGGTAGTAGGGGAAGCGGCCGCTGATGAACTCGCAGATCTCGCTCAGCGTCAGGCGCTTCTTGGGGCTCTGCAGGATGGCCATGGTGATGAGCGCGATGTACGAGTAGGGCGGCTTCACCAGCGGGCTC